CAATGAAATTATCATTGTTCCATTCAGAAATATCTTTTTTCAATTCGTCATTTTGTCCAATCCCCCATTGAATGGCACAATCCCAGATATCTATTTCCTTCATTTCTAAATCATCTTTTGCCAATATGGATATAAGCATCGATTCTTCTATATCTTTAAACTCCACATTAGATTTTAAGAATAATTCTGGGTTCTCATAAAATATATCATTACAGTATTCTTGAAGTAAACTGAATGATTGGTGTTTGGATGAAATTTTATGAATGTAAGCTAGATTTTGTTGAATCCATTCTTTTTCTTTGATGATCAAGTGATTTTTGTAGATGGTCAATTAATTCATTAACATCTAATTCATCACACATACAAAGAAGTTCAAGAATTTCATCTGGATTCAGATTTTTTGTATCAATAATTCCATTGTAAATATATCTTTTTAAAAAAAATTATTTATTTGTAAATTTATAAAAATATATATGCGTGTGTGTGTGTGTAGAATGAATCAACAAACTAAATTATAATGGGTCAAATTAAATTATTCTTCTTACATTAAAAGAACTTCAAATATTTTTGAAGAAATATTTCCTTTTTCAAATAAAATAATGCCACCATCATCATATCTTTTTATCCAATTATCTGATAATGCTGTTTTAAAATATGATGATCTTGCTTTCAAAATAGTTGAATGAGCTTTAAAGGTTCTAACATCCTCCTCATCCGCCCCTACTTTAATCTCTACATCATAATAATCCGTTCCATTCAATAATTTTGTTAAATCATTTACAAGTTGACCGATATATTTTAATGGCAAGTTATCTTCATTAGAATCAATAAATCTATTAAATAATGTATTGAAACTTTCTAAAGACAAAAGGCTATTATTATTATTATTATTATTATTATTATTATTATTAGACATTGAGGAGTAATTTTTTTTTAAAAAGATGATTTTTCACAAACTTTGAATAAAAAAGAATACCTTTTATGGTATCACGGGGGAGGGAGTCATGCATTATGTAATTATGTTTTGTACTGACTGCGTAATCAATCATACAATTTTAAGACTACGTTCGTTAAAAAAAAAATTTTGCGCAATAAATTATGTTCTCACACACACATATATCACACATATATCCCATTTGATCAAACCATTCGCGCAATGTCTAACCTGATTCGTACTTTTCTACCACGCCTAATTGGGAACCTCAACTCATGTTTCGTCTCCTGGTGCTCGTAGAATCTCAACTCGTACCTATACTAAATTATCTAGAACATAGAATTTTTAACAGAATATGAAAAACGAGGAAAAGAGTCTGCAAACAAGTTGGAGGAATCCCTCACAGTACAAGGAAAAAAGTCGGAGGAATCTCTCACGGTAGTATTTCCCTTTATAAACCTGAACAAATTCGATAAAATAACTAACAGGTTTGTTATTTATGAAGAGGGTTATCGAATATAAGTTCTTGGTAGAATCTGAAAAACAAGGCAAGAGGTCGAAGGAATCTCTCACGGCACAAGGAAAGAAGTTGGAGTAGTTTCTCACAAAAAAAGTTGGAGGAATCTATCATAGTACAAGGAAAGAAATCTCTCACGGTAGTATTTCCCTTTATAAACTTAGACAATTTTGATAAAATAACTAACAGATTTTGCAATTTATAAGGGAGTTATTGAACACCGAGTTATGGTGGCTGAACATAAGTTCCTATACATTATTGTCGAAGCTATGGTTATAAAATCGTGGGTTGAAAAGAATGGTGAAAAACGTGACACGGAAAAGAATGATGAAAAAGGAAACTTCTATTTTAAATATCTAGATAGCTAACGTCACAAATTTGTAAAATTTAATTTTCTGACTTATATATTCATCTCTGCTAAAAATATATATTGATAAAGTTTTTGTTCATATCGTTTGATTTTTAACATGTGTATATGTGTGCGTGCAATGCGGCAATAAGAGTATTGTAATTTTATAATACATTCGCATGCAGAGATTCTTTAATTTTGTTTTAGCCGACCCTATAGAAAATAAATGTGATATAACATATTGTTTTATAAGATCTTTTGATCTTACTAAAATTTGAATTATTATTGATTTTCATCAATTTGATTAATTAACAAATTTTGGGCTTTGGCAGTTTCTTCTTGATTAGAATCTCTTTTTAGCAAATTTCATCAATTGCTCTTTTTAATTCATAGAGTAGATGGCCAGCAGGGCTTAATCATATATTATCAGGCACATAGAAAAATAACAAGTAATTTGGGAGCTTGAACTTCTACAATTTAAACATCAGAAATTTCTAATAACATATATATATCTTCTATATAGACAACATTTGTGTTAAAATAAGCCAATCATGGCTTGTTTTACATTTAATGGTCCATTCTATTCTAATGTAAACAAATCAAATTGATCCATTTGATATACTAGAGATGCACTTTTAAGTTATCTAGACTCATACAGCAGTACCTTGAAGAGCAAAGAGTCTATGCAGGTTCCGTATTCCGTACATCTGCGCCTCTGTAGTAAATCATGCTTTGTATGGAACAAAATATGGAATCAAAGATCGTACAGACTGGCCCCCACCAATCAACCTTTTCAGAATTCACAAATTCCGTACAAAAATTAAAAAATAAAAGTGTACTAGTACGGAACAAAAATAAATAGTATATGGAATTGAAAAGTTATACGGAATCTCTACTGACTGAAGAGCAAAGGCCAAGTTTTGAGGAAAATTTTCAAATGATTGAGGGTATGTGCAAGAGCAAGGATGTCCAAGCCAAGCACATATCTAACATTTCATTAGTAGATGGCCGACTAGAGACATCAGGACATCGAAGAACCTGAAACCTATATATCATATTGTCTGGTATATCAAAATGCTATTTTACCAAATAAATTAACTAGAATAAATACTGATGTTGTTATAGCAGCAATTATAGATGAAAATTTATTTTTAAAAAATTTAAAATGTAGCAATCATTTATACATACCAAACCCAATCTTTTAATAACTTCTTCCAATGTCATCATAATTATTTTCCTTGCTTACCTCTGGTGCTCGAAACCCAGTTGTGCCAACAATGCTACAAAATTTTCTGTTGTGGTCTCACTTCTTAGCATGACCAAAGTCAATTATAAAAATTTGTTTTGTCTGAGGATCAAAAACAGTATTATCTGCTTTAAGGTCAAGATGATCAATATTAAGATCATGCATAAAACTTACAGCCTAAAACAGTGGTTAACAAGAACCAAAGGTGATAAAAAATCAGAATTCACATAAAAATCTGTTTACTTCTAGAAGCTGTATGCAAATTGAATTCCATGTATTCATGTCAATGTTTTCCAATTTAGACAAAGTTTTAAGGTATGGCATTACAATTAATGCTTCATTATCTATTTCCAGTACTTCCAATGGCTTGATAGTGTGGTAAAATATATAGCTCATCAGATGTTTTTAGTATACATTTCACAAACACTATGCTGCCATCTTTTAATACAAGATCCAAGTCCAATGTGCCTTTGCGTAATATTATGGGACCTGCTGTAAACAGTGTAATAATTATGTCAGAAAAATTTACTGATTGTAATAAAGGAGCTGCAACTTAGGATTTCATGATTGATTGCAGAATTTAGTACATAAGAGATTGGAGATGTCACGAATTAATTAAATCAAAAATAAATTAGTTTTTTTAAGGAAAAAGAAAATAATAATAAAAATCACATTTTTGAAATGTAACTAGACTGTAAAGAAGTGACGGAGAGAGATTCGGTATGGTATGACTCTTGCAGAACACATGGTATGGTATGGCACATATTTTTCCATACTAAGTAGGCTTCGAATGAATTGAATTTTAGAGTGATTTGATTTGATTCAATTCAAAACCTCAAAATTTTTTTTAATGTCATATTAAATTTAGAGAACTCCGTTTCTATTCGTAATATAGTAATAGTCAATCTTAATATTGATTTATTTGTTTTATTATTATCCATTTTATTTGGATTGTTCGTCTTATTTCTTTAACAAAATAATATAAATTTACAATAATTATAATCTATATATTAATACTATGGTTACTATACTATGATTTAAGAAAAGTGACATCTACTACCATTTATCATTATTATCATTATATACAAGGATTAAGGAAAAATAGATAAAAAAATTCTTTAGCAATGTGCATATTTTATTAATAATTCGAATCATTGGTTTTATTCAAATAACCCTATTTGAATAGAAATATATTTTAATTCAATGAAATTATTCAGAAATGTCGTTTTTCAATTCATAATTTTGCCCAATTTCCCGTTGAATGGCACAATGGTTTTAAGAATAATAACAATTCTGGGTTCTCACAAAACATATTACAATATTCTTGAATAATAAAATTTTAATCCATTCTTTTTAAGTGATTTTGTAAATAGTCAATTAATTCCATCAAACTATATGTTACCAATCTTTAAATTTTTTGTCCTCGTTATTTACCTTCAATCAATTCATACATATCTTAACCTACCATTCAAAATTTCACATTATATATTCATATTTTAAGGTTCAAACTATTATAAATAATTATTTACTACCATCTGTTAAGTTGGTTTTATATTTAATAATTATCAATTTTTAAGCAGAGATCGAAGTTTGAAGAATTAAGCCACAGATATATATATATATTAAATTAGGGATTTTTACCTTAACAAAAGCAGTAATTTTTCAAATTAGCAACTTTTGAATTCTTTACAGTCCAATAGAATCAAGATTAAGAAAACAATAATTAAAACATATCCAAGATTACAATTGGAATCATGTAACAATTGAAACAATAAAAAATAGCCGGAAAAATACTAAATCAATAATCAAAGTTTAACAGAAGTAATGAAATAAATAAATAGTTTGATTAATCTACTTCCCTTTACAAATAGTCTGGATGTCAGTAAATTTATTGTGAACCTGAACAGGTGATCAATCAATAGATTAAAAAAGTGAAATTTCTTACCCACTTATTAATTTAAATAAAAATAATATTTTTTAGTGCTTATGGATATTTGCTTTTACGGGTATTAACATCTATCTCGGTTTAGTGTTAACGGATAAATTTTCTAGAACAAGCATGTTCGTAAATTGAGACTCGCTGTGTACTTACCTCGTCTATGATATTAATATTATGCAAATTTGATATATTTGGATTATATTAATTCGTCAAAAACGAAGTATCGATCTTCCAATTTGAAAGGCATGAAATTAATTTACTTGAATGAGAAGAGGCGATGGTGGTAATTGAGACTAACATATTCAAAAGAATGCGGTTACAAAGTTCCCGTTAGTTTCGGTGCAGTGGTGGTAGAGTTAGACTAAAAAGATCTCACAGAAACAGCCTATTTAGATCCTTTGAGGTTTCCTGTCAAAATTTTAATCTTCAATTTTTTCAAGAGTATATCCATTGCTTATAAGACCTTTACAGAAACCATACTCTCTCTTATTTCTAAATGTCCCGATCTCAAATAATTGTAATGATATCTTCAAACGTACAATCTGCCTTTTGCTCAAAGGAACCGGCAGACTTGCGCCTTTCTCGATGTGACACAATAGAAGATAAAACAATTTCTCCTCTAAAAAAAAAAAAAGGTTGAATGAAGGTTGATCAATACTCACGTTTATACACGAGGCAATTTTGAAAATTAATATGCAAAGATTGATAACAAACATGGTGTACCAATCTCTTGCATAATGGATGTATGTACCTGGAAATACGGATGGATAAAGGAGAACTTATTTAATGATTGATAAGGAAAATTTGCTCGTTGTGAACTTTTCATTTATGCTTTCTATTTAACATCTACATACACAAATAAATTTGAATCGTCGTGTAACCCGGTTTTTTCATAATATTTTCATGTTGAATGAAAAAGAATAGTTATTATAAATTCTCTTTTATTTACAACCTTAGCATAAACATTAAGCGTCAATACTTTCTTTTTAAACAAGAAAAACCAAAAGGGTTATATGACTAAGAAAAAAGGCCCTTCCTTTATTTTCCCTCTTCGCGTTTTCTTTTTCATATAACATACATATATATACAATGATTTTAAGTTTAATTGTTTCCATAATTTCCACATTTATTATATTCACAACATTAGTTTATTTTAAAATTTCAAATAACATTAATAAAATTAATAAAACTAATGGATTAAAAGGAAAAACTATTTTATTACTAATTTCTCATCCTGATGACGAATGTATGTTTTTTGGTCCAACTTTATTAAATTTAAAATCTAAAAACGATATAATTGTTTTATGTTTGTCTAATGGTAAGTATTATGAATATAAACTTTATTTATTTATTTATTTTATTTATTTAATTTATTTATTTATTTTGATCATTAGGAAATCAAGCAGGAATAGGTGAAATTAGAACGAAAGAATTAGAAGAAAGTTGTTTAACACTTGGAATCAAAAGAACTCATGTCAATATAGAAAATAATCAGTAAATATTATTATTTACATTTCATCATTGTAATTATTACCTTAATTTTAATATTATTATAATACAATAATTAGATTATTACAAGATAATCCAAAAAAATATTGGGATCCAGTATTAATTTCAACCATAATTAAAGATTATGTTATTAAAAACGGAGTAGAAGTGGTAAGTAAAATTTTTGAATTAATTAGAAATTAGAGGATTAATTATTCACATGATTTAATGAATGATATCTTTTAGATAATAACTTTTGATAATAAAGGAATTTCTGGTCATTTAAACCATATTTCAGCGTATAATGGTGCAAAGTAAGATTATATATACATTTTATTTATTATTCCAATTGAAAAATACTAATAATAATTCAATTTTTTAGACATTTCATTAAAACATTACCTGAAACAAATGTTATTTTATATAAACTTGTAACAGTTAATATAATAAGAAAATATATTTCAATATTTGATTCATATTTAACATATTTAAATTTCATATTATCATCTGATAATTCTTCCGCTTCATCTTATTCTTCTTATTCATCATCATCTTCTCCGCCTGTTTTATCAAGGGATATCAACGGAGAACTAAATTCTACTTTTTTAAATAATTTTATTTTATTTATCTCATCGCAAAAACAATTTTATCAAACAAGAGAGGCGATGGAATGTCATAAGAGCCAATTGGTTTGGTTTAGATATTTGTATTTAAGATTTTCAAGGTATATGTTTATTAATGAATTAGAAAGAGTAAAGTAATTTAATTTTAATTAATAACAATAATAACAGTGATAACAATAATAAAAGTAATAACAATAATAATAACAATTGCAACGATAAAAAGTATTAAATAAATTTTATTTTTACAAAGGTTTTTTCAATAGATTAATTATTTTGAAGGCAAAAAAAAACCAACAGGTGAAACATACAAAATGATCCATTGATAATGGATTATAAAACCATTTATTTATTTTTAAATAATGAAATACACTCCAATCGCAAAAAAAAAATAGTTACCGGATAAAATATGAAAATTAATTTAATTCCAGTAATATAGTAGTGTGAGTTCAAATCCCAGTACATTAATGTATATTGGTTGCAGATTATGATTTGTGATCATTGTCAGTTCTGCTCTAATAAAAGTTCACATGAAGACAAGGTTGCTTGCCAAAACTTTGTCGAAATTCTAATAAGCAATTAGTGCGTGTACCTTGCCAAAATCCCCAAATGCAGAACTAGATTTTAAGAGAATTTAGTGTTAGAGAAGAAATTACCACAAATCAGTTTGATATAATAGAACTTTTAGCTGTTCATTCACCATAGAGCAACATCATAATGATAGATCAATGATGAATCGTCACTTAGTCAACATGAAAGAATTAAATCTTAAAAATTTAAATGATTATTTAATTCGTGATCCATCATCAGTGAAGGAAAGGATCTACATAGTAAAATTCTGGGATAAGCATCATAGTAAAATCAATTAGTGTCCATAATCTGGAACCACTGCAGAAATAACACAATATTTTACATGTAGGTTTGTTTGTACTTTAAAATTTACTAAATAATCGCCAGTAAAATGCTTTAATTCCCTAAATGCACGCTCTCACCCATTCCCAAGGGAGGTGCACTTGAGAGGTTGACTGTGTCTTTCTGGACTTTATGGTATTAGTAATTAATAATAATCATCATTTTATGGCATGGAATTTCTCTGTGATTGGTTAATAATGATCAACAAGTTTATTTGGCCTGATTTTTATATTGACAGCACCCCTATTGTTATAATAACTTAATTTCTATTGAAATAAATAAATAACTAAATACTAAGAAAAAATCAAAAATCTTCATAATAAATAAATCATTTTATATTCAAACTATTTAACTTTTCCATTAAAAGCTGAAAATGTTTATCTGTACTTTCTTCAATTTGTTTAATTTTCTTTTCAATCTCTTCAAGTTTATCTGTACTTTCTTCAACTTGTTTAATTCTCTTTTCAATCTCTTCAAGTTTATCTTCAAGTGTATTGTCCGAAAATAAAATATAGTACTGATCAACAAGATTCCAAGGATTATTTTGATCATTGTTGAAAATAGGTTGATCTAATGAGTATTCTTCTGCTGGTTTTAATAACACAAATAGTGCATGTGAAAAGCTTAAAACAATTAAAAATAATATCAACAAAAATGAAAAGACTTTTTCAGCAACTCCTAGAATTATCGCATAATAAACTCCAAAATATTCAAATGCTCTAAAGAATAACATGAATCTCAAATCTAATAATAAATTAGTCAATGAAATCATCCATCTTTCTGGTGGTGTGCCATTACGTAACCAATAGATTGAAGCAATTATTGGTAGCAGATAAGCTCCAACATCTAACATCAATAAATATTATTATATACTATTACTGATAAGGGTTATTTTAAGTAAAACTACATCTTACCAAAATAATTCCAATAATCTTTGATATATTTTTTCTTTCTCCAAATAAATTGTCTGAATTCAATACTCAAAAAAAATGAACCAAGAGCAATACAAACAGTTAATGAATTATTCCTAACTCTATCAGAAAAGGTGTCTGGACTAGTAGTAACAACAGCAAAACTTAATAAAAATATTGTATAAATTAACCAGATTCTTGTATGATAAAATCTTCCAAATTTATTCCATTTGAAATCAGAGATAAATTTCCCAATCCAATGTTTATAAATTTCCATATCATCCAAATCATTAATAAAATTTGATGTTGGTTTATATAATATTTCATATCCAAAGTTATACTTACTTTCATAATTTATAAATCCAACAAAGGGTATTAAAAGCAAAACTCCAGGCTTTTAGAAAATAATTAAAATAAATAAATATGTGTAGATGTATAAAATAAATGGAATTTAAACCTTTAATATATTACCTTTTTTGATTTACTTGATTTAAATTTATTGGAGTTAATATTCAGAACATTTAAAACACATTTTGAATATTTTATGATTTTTAAATAAGAATTTTTTACATAATAATTGTTGAAAGCATAATAGAAATGCCAAAAACTATAATTTTTCAAAATTGACACTCTATTGTTTTTTGGTTGATAAAATGATTCAAAGAAATCAATGTTATTGTTGAATTGAAGTAGCATTGTTGAATTTTTTATGAAAGATTTTGAGATGGAGTCTTGAGGAGTTTTTTTTAATTTTGAGAATTTAGAAATGATGATTTTTAATAGACTCATATTTGATTCAGGATCATCCAAAAACCAATAAAGACATGAATCTACCACAATCTCTATAACGAGATCATTATCTTCTTCTAATGCTTTGTATAAAAGTTCTTTTCCATATTTAGTGAAATAATAAAAATCTTTAGTCAAGTATAGAATCATCTCTTTATAAGGTTGTCTAGAAACTTGATTTTTGCCAAAGTAAACTGTATTGTTGATTCCAGGAAAAATATCTTTAACATCAAATAAAAAATCATTGTTAATTAAACTTAAACCACCTTTATCTTTTAAATCATCCCACTTATTATCACATTTTCTGATATATTTAACATATAATTTAAACTTTTCATTAACAGCAAAAATTTGTATATACTTCATTGTTATTAATATCAAATCATTACAAAATAAAGCACAATGAACAATTTTCTCATCACCAGATATACAATAATTTTCACTAGTATATATTTTTTCCTCCTTTTTTTCTTTTTGGTCATTATTGTTATTGTTTTTGTCACTGGTGGTTTTTTTGTTTATTTTTTTTTGAGCTATTATATTTATATGTTGAAAGTAATTATCATAATCTACGTTCCATTTAACCTTATTTCCTTCTAAAATTATAAGAGTATTTTCTTTAGGTTTATTGTTTGGAGTGAGAGGAGGTTCTAATTTTTTAACGTTGTTTTCAATTATTTTATCAATTATTTTATTATCTGTTTTATCTACTTCTAGAGATGTCCTGCTAGAAAGGTATGTAAGGTGTATTTCATTATATAGTTGACGTAATTTCATGCATAAATAATCAATTTCCCAATCTTTCAATTTAAGCATCATTTTTTTAATTTCTTTTGATACCTCTTCATTAATGAGCTCTTGAATATACATAAATTCATCAATAACCATAATAATATATTTATTATGAATAATTGGCCCAAATTCAACATCTTTGTTTTCCATGTCTTCCATTACAGATTTATTTAAATACCCAGTAATGTCTATTTCAGTTTTGAGATTATAAGGATCCATCAATATATAATTATAGTTATTTTGGTCTTTATCAAAATATATAACTAACAAAAACTCCAAGTATTTATTTGGCATGTTTTCTTCTGTTTTTTTTTCTAAGATTCCTTCTTCCAAACTTCCTTTTTCTAACATGTCAAATTTATCTTCATGATTACTTACATAAATAAAGCCTATCTGCTTAATATTAACATTTTTTTTAAATTCATCTATAAAATGGATTATATTTACAATAAAATGCATGTTAAATAATTATCATCATAGTGATAAAAGAATTATATTAATGTTAATTATGTATATAATAGACACTTACATGATGAAACTGTTATATTCTGTTCTAATGAATAGACTACTATTTTTGAATTTTGATGATAATCAACTACAATTAAAGGTTTATTTGCATACTTTTTATTATTGAAAACAACATAATCATTAGATTTTATATAATAATTTTGTTTGTATTCTAAATTATCATGATCCCATTGTGATATTAATGAATTATCAGCAGTAATTAGAAAATAATTGGAATAATAATAAATTCTTGGAATATGATCACTATGAATGTTATATGTTGAGTCATGAGTTATTGTATTTCCTGATATTTTCATAAGATATAATTTATAAAGTTCTTGAAGATTTTCACTTCTTTTTATGATCATTAAATCATTATCTTTTTTGAAAATAATCTTGACGAATTTACAAATTCCTCTGACAGAAGTATATTCACTAAATTTAATACTAGAAATTACTTGCCCACCTTCTTTTAAGTTATGAATTTCTAAAAATACATATATAGTATTTTAGAATAAGAATTTTTAAAACAGAAGGAAATTAAGGTAACTATAATTACTTACCACAATGTTCAGTATTATTATTTTTTATAATTATATAATAATTATCAGACACACCATCTATGCAAATTTTGGCAGAATCATCAACATATTCATATTTTCCATAATGACACAATCGTAATCTATTATCGTGAATATTAACCACCACCTTCCATCCATTAATGATTTTATCTTGTCTACTATGAGTCACAATATATTTAGAACTAGGACTATACTTTATCTCATCAATATAACTAGTATGGTCAAATTTTTCATCAAAGGGAGCTTCTATAACAATCTCTTGCATTTTTATCTTTTTTAAAAAAATAAATAAATAAATAAATAGTTTATATATATATATATATTAACAATTCCACATTTATCCATTATCAACACATATTTATTATTGTTGTATCTTTCAAACAAAGTTTTTCGTATACAAAAATAATAACAACAATGGATAGTTTTTCTTTCTATTCAGTTAAAGTTCAGCATGGCGCAGAATGTTTGCAGAAATCATGTTATAAGTGTAACACTTCTAGAATGATAATAATATTGACCTCAAATGTTAAATAAATAATATGATCAATGGAATGTTGAAGACTAAAAGTTACCGACAAACTATATATCGATTTGTTGAAAATATTAGGTTGTTCTCATTCCTTCGTTTTCGTATGTGCCAATACATATTTCATCATTATTAACATCTACCTCCGTTAAAAGCGCAAAGTCAATCATTTTCTCTGAAAAAATCGGTCAGCTTTGTATTTTTTTTTTTTTACGAATTGATATGATCCCATTTACGTTTAATTGGCAATCCGTTTATGAATGGGTGCAATGTCGATCATTTTATTATGAAATTTTGTTACTAATTGTTATTAAACAACCTTAGAATTCTTTCAGGCTTGTTAAATACCTCTTTAAAATTCTTTTGCAGTTATTTTATTGACTTGACTT